CCCCAAAACCCCAAAACCCCAAAACCCCAAAACCCCAAAACCCCTTCTAATTTCTTATAAACTGAACCTGAAGTTTAAAGATCTTGTATCTAAGCATCATGGCATTCTGTGACAGATTTGCCAAATTTTACCGGTAGTAAATCATGCTCATCCATAAAGGCAAGAGTGAGGTCTCATATTTCATTGAGTTTTCTGTCTGCTTGAGAGGCTGGGCCGATCAACTTGATCATGCTGAAAAGTCCTGAGAGAGTCAATGAGTTATCCATGTAAGTTAGATGTGCTGAATCTTTAAGATCAAGGTCATATATCTTGCTTTTACTGTGCTTTTTCATATTTTTCATGAATTTTGTGTAAACTTTATTAGAATCAAACTCTATCAAGAATGGAGTCAAGTGATAATTTGTCGTAATTAGAGATAAGAGTGGCTGATCGATCACAAATTTATCACTCTCTAAAATAGTGTTCACTCTTGCTTGAAGATATGGGTCGTAAGAAACACAAGCTTTGAACTGCTTATTTCTATAACAATTTTCTATTGATGTCATTCCTCCCATTGAGTGGCCAAGAGAGGTCAGCTTAGTCATTTCAATATTTGGGAACTCTTTGCTTGATACCTTTTCGATATAACTAAGAATGGACTCAACATCTTCGATTCTTCTATTAAGAAACTTCATTCTAATTTCATGATGTTCATATTTGACTCCAAAGGCATCGATATGAGTTTTTCTGTCATACTTATTATAAAAATAATCTTTGGGAGGATCTTGATTGTAATCCTTATAATATGAAGAAGAGCCGTCTGTATGGTTCGGTACATACACAATACATCCATAACTAGCGAGAGCAGAGGCAATAATGGTAAAATGAGCTCTACAAGAACCTAATCCATGACATAGAACAGCCGGAGTAAGTTTCTTATGCCCATTTTTAAAATCCTTGTGAAGTTCAGAGTTATTCACAGCCTGAATTCTGAAATAATTTTGATCTTGTAAAGTGTACATTAAGAAGGTTGGATTTTCTGGAAGCAAAAATGCTAAAGGAGCCTTATAAGGGGAATATTTCGCTTCTACTCCACTCAGGATGTGTCCAGGAGCACTGACATCACCATCTAAGTAGTAGCTACTAGTCTTCTTAGGGTCCTTGACTTCTACTTCATACTGCTCTCTGTCTATAGGATAGAAGATACACACAGGAGGGGTGGTCTTCTCCTTAATAATATCATGCTTAACTCCAACTCCGTAAGGGCCTGGAGGATCATAGATAAAGAATCTAAGAGTATTTATCAGGCTGAGGGAGAACCAAGCGAGAGAGAGCAAACTTGTTAAAATATTTCGCATATATCCTTCATTAGTGAGAAGATAGATAGGAATAAGGAAGATCCATCCTATATAGTTATTCACTATCATGGAAAATCTTCAGTGGGTCTCATAAGTCAGAAGCTTTCACACTAAGAGTGTTCCAAATAGAGCAAACCATATTCAGACTAGATTTCCAGATACTTGATCTCCAAAAGCATTACTTAGGCCCAGGATGCCTGTAATTTGAATTGAGGCATATACTTTCTCCCAGAAGTTGACAAAGTATCTTCTTTTCATCTCCATTTTTAAAATCTTTTATAAAAGCTAGATCTGAAAGGGGTTTTGGGGTTTTGGGGTTTTGGGG